TTCCTGGTCACAACCAGAGACATAAGGTGAGAAAATGGGTTCATGACATCTGATCATTTTGTACTCCACCCACAAAAAACAAAAAAAAAAAAAACAAAAAAACCAAAAACCAAAAGAAATTAAGATCACACACATTTTACATAGATTGTGAGTACAATTTTTTAAGGCATGGGCTACCAGGTATTCATTATTCTTTTGCATTATGTGCAGTACAATCTCTTACCGGATAACGCAATGTAATACCCTTGGGAAAGGTATGAATCCTCTTCTTCTCCCCTCCCCTCCCCCCAGCTATGGATAAATAGTAGGACAGAGCGGGTTTGCTATCCTTGGATGGCAACTGGTCTACCGCGGAAAGAAATGCCAACCTACAGCGGGAAAAAATTTACCTCGTCTGTTATGTATCGAAAGATACATGATGCCTAAGCGTTTATCACGCATGGCACATAACTGACTGAATAAATATATGCATTTTCTTTTGAACAAGTTCTAATATTATGTGTTGCTTAACATATACAGCGTTTATTTATTCGTTACATAAAAATATCCTGAGTAGATAATCTGGTCTGTGCAATCTTTTCAATATCTTATAAACAGGGTCTAGTCGGAATTTTGTAAATGTTCTTTTTAATACCATTTTCTATCAGGACTCGAAATGCCATTTTTCAATCTCTATTTCTTTAATTTTATTTTTCTCACTTTTTAACAAAATATATTTTTATCTGATAATTTATACTGGTGTTGCTCTTTGACGTCGTCAGTGGAAATTTCATTCTTGGGACAGATGTCTATAAAACACCATGCAACATAAGAACTTTGAATCTTTACCGAATAAATAATGACAGTTATTATTATTATTATTATTATTATTTAATAATTTTAGGCAGCTTTCTTTGGAGATAAAACAACAGCAAGTTACCTCGATATACCAGACTGATTTCGGAAATCTTGTTGATTTTATTCATGCTGTCGTCGAGATGGTTTCAATTCTACTTCGGATTTCTTCTTCTTCTAATCACTTTTTTTGCAAGGCTCTACGGGATGCTTCCAAGTGCGACAATGACTACAACTAGCACATTCAACTTAAATCCTCCTACAACTGGTAACTAATGTATTTCACTAGAGATTAAGACACAAACACCCTCAATACTTTTTGCATTTTCCTCGGTATTCGAGCCGTTGTGTCTTAGTCTGAATGATCACAGTTCTTGCTCGGGCGTCATGTTCTTACAATTGTTATACTGAGTGGAGATTGAAGTAAAAACTCAGAGGCAATAAACTTTCATGCTAAACGCAATCATCCGTCATGATAATTGCATTTAGCATGAAACAGACTGTCGCCTCTGTGTGTTGACTTCAATGTACACTTTTATAATTACATTAGCTCTATCTCTGATAGTGAGCACTTTAACACATAAATATAGCACACCTTAAAACTACATTTCTCCATATATATATATATATGTATGTATGTGTGTGTGTATATATATATATATATATATATATGTCTGTATATGTATGTATGTATATGTATGTATGTGTGCGTATGAGTGTGTGCGTATGAGTGTGTATGTGAGAGAGAGTGAGAGAGAGAGTATTCTGAACGATTGGTACTATGGATACTGTCTCGGAATGAAAATCAGAGAGCTGAGTTCAAATTCAAGTTAAGTGCGTTGCATTCATTTAGGCGATCCCCTGGGGAAAGTTACAAATCCAATTATTCTCTCACTCTCTATGAATAAGAGGGGAGACTGGGCTCTATAGCCTTGCTTGGCAACCTGTCTAATAGAAGTAAATCTCTGAATCCAAAGAAGCTTGGAGATTGTTGGCAAAGTGTGGATGAGCTTCGTATAGAAGCCACTGGCCAGTATACACCACGGAGATGGACATTTTTTTTACCAAAAAGACTTGCGATTATAACATCCTCAGACGTGTAGGCACACAGTGCACTAGTGCGGGAGATAGTTTGCGATTGTGGAAAGATATATATATATATATATATATATATATATATATATATATATATATATATATATATATAAAGAAATATAGTTTTAAGATGTGTTATATTTATGGGATAAAATACACAATATCGAGATAGAATGTATGTAAATATAAATGTGAACATTGAAGTCAACACTCAGAGGCGACAGGCAGTTTCATGTTAAACGGAATCATCAGGCCGCGTGCGCTGGGTTTTTTTTCTCGACTATTTATATATATGACTCAGTGGTGCACTGCCTCTTCGGTTTTCGATTTTTAATTAACGTAGTAATTTTTTATTTTTATTTTTATTTTATTTTCTTCTTTTTCTTTTTTTATCATTATATAGCAGTTATAGCTATTTTTCGTCCAATTTTTTGGATTGATTTCTATAGACTATTCTAACGGTTTTTTTGGCGGGATTGGTTCTGTTAATTTGTTTATTATTTATTTTGTTTATTAATAGGATTGATTATTTTTACTTGTTTTTTGTGTATTTATTTTTCATTTTCATTTA